TTAGGGTTTAGGGTTTAGGGTTTAGGGTTTAGAGTTTAGGGTTTAGGGTTTGGGATGTTTCCCCCTTATACTAACAGTCTTTAATGGGGATTATAGTACCCCCTATCACAATCCCTACTAAGGACTGTTAGTATAAGGGAGGACATCACAAGTTTCGGGTTTAGGGGTTTGGGGGTTTAGGGCTTAGAGTTTAGGATTTAGGGGCTTGGGGTTTTTGGTTGTAAGCGTTTTCGGGTTCAAGGGGTTTAGGCGTTGCGGGGTTTAGGAGTTTTTGGGGCCTGGGATTTGGGGCTTTTGGTTTTCTAAGGTTCGGGGCTTGTTACTGTGGCGTCGCCTGTTTGAAAGCAAGACCATTGATTGTAAACAACATCCTGTACAAGGGGGCCCCAAGTTTTGAAGGGAACATGATAATAATTCCTCAGGGCTTAAGGTGTTGTTCCCTCCAATAAGCGTTTCTCTAGAAGCCTCGACGCCTGATCAACAAAGCTGCCTGCTACGCCCATGCTTATGCAGGAACTGTACTAGCATAAGCCCTACAACGACACGGGGCATTACAATGAGCAGCCGTGCGCACAACCATGTCAGACAATGATAAACGAGCCTGTGCGACCCAAAAACCCATATAAGCCGCAACGCCTTAAACCCTAAACCCTAAACCCTAAACCCGGTGAAACCCTAAACCGCTACAAGCCGGAGGCGTCTCCAAAATTCCAAGCAAGGCCCTGCGGCCATTCCACCTTGTCTCCCCGTGGGCGATGAAGCTGTGGATGAGGGCCTTCCGACGTAGGGTTTAGGGTTTAGGGTTTAGGGTTTAGGCTTGCAAACCCGCTTTGGGGGGGGGCAAGGGCATATCGCATCGAATTTCTATTGAAGCCCTTCAAAACTCCAAGATTGAAATCGGTAAACCGACGCTCAGCATGAGAACTGCCAGTGGCTACTAAACCTCCCAAACCCTGAATTCTCTCGAAACCCTACACCCCAAAACCCTAAAACTCTAGAACGCTGAACCAAAAAAATCCTGAAAGCCCAAACCCGACACCCTGAACCCTAAACCCTAAACCCTAAACCCTAAACCCTAAACCCTAAACCTTCTGGGGCCCCCTGCCACCATGGCACCAGAAAGATCGGGCTGCAGCTCGCACATAGGTATCCTGAGCTTTCAGGCGCTTTTTGGGACTTAAGTCTGAGCGTTTAGGGTTTAGGGTTTAGGGTTTAGGGTTTTGAAGTCCCAAAGCTACTTGGTTTGTCGGCCCAGGCACCTGCTTTTGCGACTTTGCTGAAGTAACTAGGAATCAAGGGGTACCCCTTTGGGGTTTACAGGGGCTTCTAGAGGAGAACCAAAACCCTAACAAAGGAATTAAGACCCTACTCTGGGTCCTAAACCCTAAACCCTAAACCCTAAACCCTAAACCCTAAACCCTAAACCCTAAACCCTAAACCCTAAACCCCCAGACTATCTTGCTCAAGAAAGACGGTAGGCAACTGACATTGGCAAAGCTAGGGCTGCGGAGTGTGGGACAGAGTCACAGCTTCCATGTGAAGCGAGGGAAGGACCGCAAAAGTCACCAAACCGGACAAACGACTTGAAGGAACACAGCAACATAGAATTAGTGTATGTACATTAATACACACAGAGGACGTGCATCAACGACTTGAGATAAAGGAAGTGAAAGGAATGCTAGTTTAAAAGGGCGACAGAGCAACGCCAGGGCAGAATAGCCCGAGTGGACAGAGGCGCGCGCTTCGTGCGATTCTGGGTGCCCTCTCATCCTTCACCAACCCCAGGGGCCCTGTGACCCTCGAAGCTTAGGGTTTAGGGTTTAGGGTTTAGGGTTTAGGGTTTAGGGTTTAGGGTTTAGGGTTTTCAAGCCAAGACATCTCCCCGAGGCAGCCGCATCGCCGCGATGATGGCATCGGAAAGGAACCTGGGGGGGGGGGGGGGCAAGGGGGGTGCGCGGAGCTAAACCCTAAACCCTAAACCCTAAACCCTAAACCCTTAACCTAGGGTTTCCGGATGTAGGGTAAGCTTCCAGGCCAGCGCACTGCAAAATTTTGGGTGGAGGAGGTATGGTTGGGATTTCGGGGTTCTTGGTCTAGGTGCTTGTTACCTTGACTCTAAACCCTAAACCCTAAATCCTAAAAGATGGGTTTTTTGGGGGGGGAGTTTGGGCCTAGTGCATCCCACGGTTTGGGGGGAGATGAGCTCAGGGACATCGGCAAACGTTTAAAGCGGGTCCCAGGTCAGGGTTCGGGGTTTAAGGTATAGGGTTTCGGGTTTAGGGTCAGACTCCGTGTCGTGGCGCTATCTGCAAGCGAATAAGGTTGCCAGGTAGTCTCGGTTAGAAGGGATCTCCACCTTTCTCCCTCATAGCCCTAGCCCGAAAGCCCCCTAAGCCACCTCAGATATGGACCTGAAGAAGCGCTCCTGATGGACCAAAACATGAGCCGTTTCAATTTGTTTAACACACCCTTATAGCAGGTAGTAGGCGACACAAAGATA